TGGAAGGCAGGTTGGTAGTAATTGCTTTTTCTGCAGTCCTAATTTATTCTCTGGAGTCTGTGCCTGTCTTGTTGGGTTGCAGAACCAAACCAGACAGTGATAGAGGTGCAGATGACAGACTCCATCCTTCCTCTGTAGAACTGGATCAGCAGCTCCTTTTGGGCAGTTTGAGCTTCCTGAGTTGGCGCAGAAAGAACATTCTCTGTTGGGCTTTTTTGATGACGTTTTTTGATGTTAGGTGTCCATTTTAGGTCATGTGATATAGTAGAACCTAGAAATGTGAAGGTCTCTACTGTTGATACAGTGTTGTCTAGTATTGTAAGAGGTGGTAGTATAGGAGGGTTTCTCCTAAAGTCCACCACCATCTCTACGGTTTTGAGTGTGTTCAGTTCCAGATCGTTCCAGTTACACCACGAGGCAAGTTGTACAACCTCTGATCTGTATGCGGATTCGTCGTTGTCTCGAACGAGGCCAATCACTGTTGTGTCATCAGCAAACTTCAATATTTTAACAGATGGATCATTTGAGATGCAGTCATTGGTATATAGGGAGAAGACGCTACGAGGCTTGAAATTTTGGACCTGGACCACCTAGAACTATGCTGCCTATGGTCTGATTTTAGCTTAGTACCCAAAATGGTCTGCTACAACATTCTACCTGTCAACAACTACTTCAGTTTCAACTGCAATGTAACACACGGGCGAACAATAGATGCAAACTCAAAGTAAACCACTCCAAACTCGATTACAGAAAATCTGACTTCAGCAACAGAGTGATCAATGCCTGGAACTCAGTCCCTGACTCTGTTGTGACATCCTCAAACCCCCAAAACTTCAACCTCAAACTATCTACCGTGGGCCTCATCCCCTTCCTAAGAGACCTGTAAAAGGGGCGTGCATAAGTGCACCAGCGTGCCTCTCTGTCTTACGGTTCCCATTTATTCACCTTCATTGACTATGTATATACTTACACCTGCTTATATGTATGTGTTTATATGTTATGTTCATACTTACACTGGTTTTCTCATACATGCTCGACAAAGAAACAAAATAAATAAATAAAATAAATAAATAAATTTTCTGTTGGTTATGGGAATCCAGCCTCCAACACTCCTCCTTTTCCTTTCTTTTCCTCCCTCGCTCCCTTCCTCCTCCCCCCCTCCTCCTCCTCCTCCTCCTCCTCCTCCCACCAGCAACCCACTCCTTTCTAGCACTGATGCAGAATTCCCTAGTTGGGTCACGAAACACCTGCAAAAACGCAGCCCAGCTCACACAGCGCCAAGGACCCCGTAGTTCCCCACCCTGAGCTGCAAACTTTCCCTTCTGTGGGAATGTCTTCCTGCTCGTGTTTGTTGATCCGAGGATTCTGGTAAGACGCCAGCCGATCCCCCTGGCTCATCTCTACTGATCCAAAAACGCCTTTCGGCCCGTCGGCCTCATTTCGAAAGCGCTGGGGTGTCGCTTGTCTCAGCCAAGAACCAACCCCGGAGACCTTACGGGGTCCAAGCCAAGCAATCCTGCCCTTATGCCTGAACCGGCTGGGCCCGTCCCAGAGCAGTGGCTGCGTTCCCACAACCCACAGAGCCTCCTTGTTCTTCCCAATTCTTGTGCCAGCTAAAATCTGGGGGGAATCCCCCCTTCCGGAGGGCATCCTGCACGGCTGAGTTGGCCTGGAAGAAACGGCTCCGAAGGCTTAATCTCCCCCCGAGTAGTAGCACATCCACGAGTTACCTCCCTGGGCCTACTCTGCCCTTTTCACCAGCACCCCCTCTGCATTTGGGGGGTTCCTCTGCTTCCCTATCGAGTGTGTTTCCTCGTTTATTGGGGTCCCAGGGAGAAAGTATAGAGCGGGGGTCTCCAAACACGGCACCTTCTCTCAGAATTCCCTAGCCAGCTATGAAGGGAGGAGGAGGAGAAGGAGAAGAGGAGGAGGAGGAGGAGGAGGAGGAGGAGGAGGAGGAGGGGAGGAGGAGAAGGAGAAGGAGAAGGAGAAGAGGAGGAGGAGAAGAGGAGCAGGAGGAGCAGGAGAAAGAAGAGAAGAAAAGGAGAGGAGGAGGAGGAGAAGAAGAGGAAGTAAAACAAGAAGAAGAAGAAGAGGAAGAAGAGGAGGAAGAAGAAGAAGAAGGAGGAGGAGGAGAAGGAGAAGGAGAAGGAGAAGGGGAAGGGGAAGAGGAAGAGGAAGAGGAGGAGGAGGGGGAGGGGGAGGGGGAGGAGGAAGAGGAGCAGGAGGAGCAGGAGAAAGAAGAGAAGAAAAGGAGGAGAGGAGGAGGAGAAGAAGAAGAGGAAGAAGAGGAAGTAAAAGAAGAAGAAGAAGAGGAAGAAGAAGAAGAAGAAGGAGAAGGAGAAGGAGAAGGAGAAGGAGAAGGAGAAGGGGAAGAGGAAGAGGAGGAGGAGGGGGAGGGGGAGGGGGAGGAGGAAGAGGAGCAGGAGGAGCAGGAGAAAGAAGAGAAGAAAACGAGGAGGAGGAGAAGAAGAAGAAGAGGAAGAAGAGGAAGTAAAAGAAGAAGAGGAAGAGGAAGAAGAAGAAGAAGGAGGAGAAGGAGAAGGAGAAGGGGAAGAGGAAGAGGAAGAGGAGGAGGAGGAGGGGGAGGGGGAGGAGGAAAAGCAGGAAGAGCAGGAGAAAGAAGAGAAGAAAAGGAGGAGGAGGAGAGGAGGAGGAGAAGAAGAAGAGGAAGTAAAAGAAGAAGAAGAAGAGGAAGAAGAGGAGGAAGAAGAAGAAGAAATAGAAGAAGAAGAAGAAGAAGAAGAAGAAGAAGAAGAAGAGGAGGA